CTTCAGAGAAGATAAAGGTACTCTATAACTGGTAGTCAACAGTCAGTGGAAGATACAATAGCTTTCACTTGTCTCTTAAGAACTGTGAGCCTGGTCTCCACAAATGCAGCAGTAAAATCCCTCAAGTTATTCTTGTCCCTGGGTGAGCTTTAACCATGTTTTGTTTGTACAGTGCTAAATATACTGTTGGTACTTAATAAATAATAACCACATTTCTCTTTTGCAATTTACATTTTCAATATAAAACACAAATGCATACACACTCCACTTCATTCAAATAGAATGACACTCACCTCTTCTATAGCAGCATCCTGTAACAGAGAACGAATGTCCAAGCGCATCATGTGACGTGGTGCAGTCTCCCAGTGATCAGACATCTAACAAGAAACATACACATAAAGCACTTCCTACAATAGATTACACTGAAAAATTGGGTCTTTGATCAGCAGTGAACACTTATTTCTTGAATATAGTTATACTGTAACTATCCTACTGAAATAATCATAGGGAATATGGATCCATCTTCAAAAGAAGCAGGGATATATTTGTTCTAAATGAAAATGAGGGTTCACCAACATCAATGGACCTGAAAGCCCAAAGAAATGTAACTTCAGTAACCTTGTGACACCACTTCTATATATAGTTACCCTATTGATTTCTTTTAGCTTGCGGCCATGGATATTCCTCTTGGAACAAGTCTGGTTATCGGCACTCATCTCAGCTAAATATACCTAGAAAGAAAAAAAAATCAGAATTAGATACCATAAGTTTATAGAAAATTAATGTTAATATCTAAAGCAGTTTTCCACAGTGTGAATCTACATGTGAGTTGCATGCACAGAAGATGTATACACTGATACATGACTGAGCATTTAATACTAATCACCAGCAGGACTGACAGGAGGTTCCATTTAGTTTCATTTTCCTGAAGGAGGGTTTATTGTTTTAGAGGTACTAGTGAGTGTGAACAACTTCTGACATCATTACCTCAAAACCCTTGGTTTTTGCTGCACTCCAAAACTGCTCAAAATGCCGCACCCTGTCATTGATGGCATCCAGGATAATGAAAGGGAAGAAGCCATCATCCAAGGTCTTTTTGAAAGTCTTAAACATACTGGTGCGGTAGGTCTCTTCCATGTCAGCTTCATATTCATACTCCATCACCTAGGTCCAGGACAAAAAGCACGTCAGGAAAAAAGCAAAACAAGTTCTAAACTAGTTTTAGTTCAACTCCTGATATTACAATCACTGAGCATATAAGCAGAAAAAGCAAACTTCCCTATGCAAGTAGATTTCTGAAGAACTCACTCACAGATGATCTCTAATTTGGTTACACATAGAAATGGTTTGTTCAAAATACCACCGCTGCATCAAAACAGCGGTTTCAGCTCTCACAGTAATTTAATTCCCTTGTAACTAATTTAAAAATACACTTTTTCTTCCTTTCTTAAGCAAAAACCTAAGCTAACAGACATGAACTGAGTATACCTTCTTTTTCACTTTTTTCCCTGTATCTGGGTCTCTCTCCTCTTTCTCCACTTCAGTGATGAAATAGTCATCTAGGCTGAGAACTCTGGGTGCAGGCCCTCCACACTCAACTTCTTTGTCCTGGGAAGGAAACAACCAACAAATACAATTTCCATTCCACCATGTGGGCTCTTAGTATGCTCGGGGCACACTCCAGAAACCTGATCCACATTCAGTAAGAGAAAGAAGATTTTACTATCACCTGAAATTTAATACCTTTTTTCTTATCTCAGTCATCCCCCTGCCTTTCCCGCTAGTTCTGTAAGGGGATACCCAACCACCTGAAGACCTATAATTTAAAGTAATTAGAGACCAGATCCAAGATTGCTTCTTCCAAAGGACTGACTTAATATGATCTCCCCTTGTGCCCTGGACAAATAGAAAGGAAAAGAGAGAAGAAGTGTCCATATAAAGGCACATGCCTAGAGACATGCTGATGTTTTATAGTTGAGAGTCTGGCAACATACAGGAAAGGAGCTAGTTATGTACTTACCCGGATGAGCTTTGCTACATGTGTCTTTCCACTGCCAGGTAATCCTCTCATTATGATGACAATCTGATATAAAGACAGTATAAGAGAAAGATAATTGTTGGGCTGCATTCAACAGAACCCCTAAGCAGCATATCTATCAACCAGTGTGCTCTGGCTCACAATCTTCTATACTCATTAGGTACAGAATCACAAAACTGAGCCAGCAGTATGACATATTCCTTAAATTGTTTTTAGTCTCCTCAGTGATCAGAAGACACCTGTTGAAAATCTGGCCCTATAACAAAAGATTGAAGAGAATTTGTTTAAATAAAGTTAGTTGTATGAGCCTACCATAACTATACAATCCTCTGCTGACATATGTACACCAACTTTTTCTTCCCCTCCCTATACAGTACAGTATATGAACTGTACCCACCCGGATACCATAAAGTTAAGCACTACTCCCAGAAAAACTTCTGAAACAGATAAATATTGTTAGTTAATAGGAATTCTACTCTCACATTCCCAAAGGTTTAAATCTCAGTTGTATTCCATCTGATTGTGTTGTATTATTCCATTTGTACAATCACCAAAGCCTTCTTGGAGCTCCCCCAAAATTTCCCCCAAGATTTTTTCCCCCAATATCTTTCCTGCAATCTTTACTTGGTCTATGTGAACACCAACATTAACAAGGTACATTTTAGATGTTCAATCTGCTCCCCCATTTGGGGATTTGCAAATTATTCAACAGCTTTAGATGGGCCAGGGGTTTGCTTCATAAACATGTATACTTCATATGTGGGAAATATTTCACAATATAGTCCCTTAACATTGCTTGTTGCCTTCAGAATGGATAGCATCTCCATGCTACTTACTCTTTCTGGCCTGCTGTCCCGTCCTGGTGGCTTCAAGATATCATCCACATTCTTAGACTCTGGTTTCCTCTCCACCCGGGGAGCAGGTGGTGGCTGGCGGGGTACTGATGGAGCAGAAATAGGCATCCTCTCCTCAGGGTAATTTCTCCTATCACCTACAAATTTCAGTAATTGCATATAATTATTTTCTTGGCTCACTGAAATAAAAAATATTAATCAGAAATCTCAGTTCACAGGATTCTAAAAGACCTCAGTGATTTCCAAGACAGTTTGCTTTAGCCTCAATATAAGGTCTGATTGATAGAGGAGAAGACAGACAGTCCCATTTAACCAATGCTATAAAAACAGAAAATCTGGACTGACAGAAATATGACCATATTTTTAAGAGGTAGAATGGCCTAGTCAAAGAAAAGCTAGACTGCAATACAATATTTTAGATCAAGTCTCAGCTTTTTTTTGCCAGCAATTTCCTCTGTGGCCTCGGTAAAATCACTTATTATCCCCATTTTACAGTTTACAAACACTTATCTACATTCCAGGGAAGTTCTGAGGTTTAATTGATATTATAAAATGCTCTGAATATGTAAATCCCCTATATAAGTGCTAAGCATCTTTAGTCAGTCCATATAAATAAGGAAAATTGACTGGTCTTTGTAATTTCTGTGATCAAGCATACACTGGTCTATGAAATTCATAATCCCGCAAAACAGGGAAAAAGTTAGATGCAATTAGGAATACCATAAGAAATCTTTTTTTTTTAATCCATACTACATAATGGTATAATAAATTCACAAAGCTTCCCAGGTGGTTCCAACAGTTCAGTTCTGCCTACCATTCAGGTGCTCAGATACCACTGCACTGAGTTTACTGTAAGTCAAGATGAACAGTTTGTCATTCTTAATAAATTAAACTGATCTGTAGAATTCTTGCTTATGAGAGGTGTGGAATCTCATAATCCCCTCCCTTTGACTCATGAGAGCTGAAATCAAATCAGCAGAGCCCAAAGAATCCTGATTACTGCATGTTACATACAGAGGCTTGAAATAGTGATGCACTTTTAGTGTCAAGAGTCAGACTTTACAGATATCAATATGAAGTGATATCCATGGGATAACCTTTCCTCCAGGAGAAGGTCTTAAGGTACTGTGGGAGGGAAGAGATGAGCGACTGATGCCTCTCCCTGGGTCTGCACAGAGCTTGGCAGTGCGATGAGAAGCAGCTTCCCTGCCATTGCTGGAAGCATATGAAGGCCCCTCTTCAATATTGTAATTGGCTTGGGGCCCGGCAGCTGACCAATTGGCGGGCAGGTTGCTGCTGTGGCTCGCTTT